GCTTCACCTCCTCTGCAGTTGATCTTATTTCGCAGATGACGAGTATCGATTTCTCCCAAAACATATTGCGACTATGATTTATGAGTGATTTTACCGCAGCAATGATGCTCAGGTCTGTGCTCGGCAAGGTGCAACCCACCACTTAATCCGAGCTTACTCAATCTGCCACTCCATAGGACCCCACAGAGTGTAAAGCGCGCAAGGAGCCGATGCCGCTGCAACAGACAGCGGCTCGGGCTGCTTAAGTCCAGGTAAAAGTCCAGGCAGAAGCCCAACAGACATCGAAAGCGCTGTGGCTCCGTGCCTTTTGTTTGCCAATTGCATTATGTGCCAGAGGCTTTTTGGTAGTTAAGTCCCCGTACATATTCTCGCACAGAGGGAGAAACTTTTAAATTAAAAGTCCAACGGAAGCTTATGGAACAATTTACAGCCGCTTAAGCCGCTTCATTACGAGCAAACGTATCCATGGAGCCGTATCGAAGGAGAGAGCAGAGCTTAGTTTTGCTGACAAACTTCTTCTATGGCCACAACCGCTGCGTCTGGCCAATGGGAAGAGGCGACCAATCCGGGACTGATTAATATTATCGATTATCGGTAGCCAGATAGCATAATCTCTTTCTCGCACTTGGCAGGTGCAGATACGAGTGTTTCGTAAATTTCATAATTCAAAACCCACGCGTTTCGTTTGTTTTGCCTTTCATGATTTTTTAATAAGGCCACCGCAGTTGAGAGTTTCTTCGAAGACCTAAAAAAAGGTAGCGCTGGCACCCACTCTCAAATATGTATACATATGTATGTATTATATACGGGCTTTATATACATATGTACATACGTATGTATGCTTGTCAGGGTAATGGAAAGTAAACTGTCGGCACAAGTGTATTTATATTGCTAATAATTTGACGTCTGTCTCTTTGAGTTTGTCTTTGCCAAAATGAAATTAAATTCTTCGTGTCAGCCAAGGGAAGGTCACTGGGCGGGAACTCAGCAGAACAGGAAAGAGAGAGGGTGTAGGATGTAGATTCCATTGCCTGTCACAATCAGACTCGAAGGATCTAAGGTCGGAAATGTGGGGAAGCATACACTAAAATAAAATTGTTAGTTGTCAGATGATATCGCAAAGGGGAGACCCCACGTAAGTGGGAGGCGGCCTGTTGGGAGGTACAGAGAAGGAGAACCCTAATTAGTTTTTATGAGGATGCACAATGTTCAGTTGCTCATCTGGCCACACACACGCACGGGGCAACAGTCGCTTCCGATGCGTGGGTTTGTGTTCTGCTCTGCCGCCGGAAGCGGAAGTGGGTCTGGATGCGGATGCGGATGCGGATGCTGCAGCTGCATGTGTATGCGTGTGCAGGTGCGTGATAGAGAATGTAAGTGCATCGTGTGGTTAATGCACTTTAATTGCTGTTAGACCTGTCTGTTGGCAATTGTGGCCACTGCATCCAATGCTGTGACACCTGGCTCTTGCCTCTTGCGCGCCATTTAACTTGATTAAAGCGTGCATTTGGGTTACTTTGCAGCCACTCTAAAATGGGTAACAAACGGGCTTGTGGGTCGAACACTAAAACGTAATATCCCCCAGTAAAATCAACTGGAAAAGCCAGTAAATCTACGACACACAAAGGAAATGTCCCTCTCCATTCGCCCTCCCGCTCGACAATTCCCCGGCGTGCAATGAAAGCGTTAATAAATTTCATGAGTTCTCGCATAAAAACTTTTCCTCCTTTTCTCTCTTTCTGGTTCAGTCTCTCTACCTCTCCCCCTCTGTTAGTGGCCTTCTGCCGCGCTTTGAAATGCAAATTCTGATTCTGGTCCGCCGCGCTGCCCCATGAACCTCGTCTTGGGCGTCCATTGAAAAATGTAAATCACATTTACAATCAGATTAAATCTCAATGAGCATTGGGCTAAAATTCAAATGCCATTTTGCCATTAGACCGCACAAATATTGTCACAGAAATCAAGGCCGGCAACAAAGTTAACTCACCCAACCCACCCAGCCTCTCAGCCACCAAGCCAGCAAGCCACCTAGCCACCCATGGTGTGCCACACATATGCCACACAGCGAATGTTTCCCCACCACGCCCCTCTTGATGCTGTTGTTGCAAGTATTTATTTGAAAACATGGCAGCAAATGCTAGGCAACACGAAAATGTTGCATTGAATTAACATTTAGAGAACGCAAAAAAAAGGTGTCGTGTACGGCAAGGCAAAAAACATGAAAGACCGCAGCTGTGGGGATTGCGACTGAATGATACCCATTACACGTCGAAGCAAACATTATATAAAGAAGCATTACGGAAGCTCAACTCTGCCAAAGAGTCGGCCATTTGTCTATTATATACACGATACCCTGGGCATACTGACAACAAGAGGAAGACCGCTACATGTTACACATTTTAAATGTTCTGTGCAACAAAAAATGAGGAAAACTTGGAAAAAGCAAACAAACATTAATAAATGCAAATAATATAAAATAACCCAAGGTGTGGACAGTGCAGTGCAAAGTTTCTGCTGTGGTAATTTGCATAAAAAACTTATTATGGAGTTTTTTCCTTGGGGAGAGCGAGAGCAAGATGAGCTCTCAACAATGAGAGCGAGGCCCACGCCATGGAGGAGCAAAAACTAGCAAATAAACAAAGCGAATGGATAAATTGATTCCAGTCAATTAGTGGATTATTCAATTTGAGGGTAAAAGCCATCATTAAAAGTCATCATTTAATAAAATTTTTTAATAATAGTTGAGCAACAACTTGAATGTTTTAATTTTCCGTCAACTTCGATACAACTGTAAAGAACATTCTGGCACAACGGCTCTCCGTCTCTGAGCGATGACTCTTTGCAAAGATAAGAGAAAGTATCTAGCGCAATTTCTTTTAATTTATCATTATTTGTATCGATGATTCGGCGAGACACAACACCAATAAATCAATTGTGCAAATATTCATCCAGAGAACTTGAGACCCCTTGAAAGAACTAACATGCACCCGAAATTGAACAGTTTTGTGATTAGGAAAAGATAAGGACAGAAAGTGTCTTAATGTCGAGGTGTGAGGTGTTGAGGTGTGTTTTTGTGGCTAATGCTATCATTACTCACTGTAATGTTCTATAGTTTCAAGCACTAGTCTCAGAGAACTTAATGGCAGTCTGTTTAAATAACAGTCTGTTAAGCTTCCTGTTTAAAGACTGCCGCACTTATGTATGCCCCATGCTATGCTCTTTTTCCGAATGCACTCTTAAAATTAAAAGACCCATTGTGCGTGCCCGTCTAGACCTCGGCGCTATTTGCATTCGAAGCGGCAGCAAACAAAGAAAATGACAGCAGCCACGGCCAGGGTAAACAATGCGCAACAATATCCAACCAGCCCATCCCCAACCTGCTGCTGCTGCTGCTGCTCTTTTTAATGACAGTCGAACAGCAGCTGGGGATACGAGTATTTAAAGCGATGCGGGAGACCACCCGTCCGCCACTCATAAGTCGTATAAATCATTGCGCTTTGGGGCTCTCGTGTAATGAAAATGCTCCACAGATACTTGAGAACCGTAAACTGAACAGAACAGAAGCAGGCTCACAATGCCACTCGAAGGGAATTACATGACTCAACCGCCACTCCACTACGTAGGGATCTGTGTAAGGGTACTCTTTTCACATTGAAAAACCATCAACCGAGAATGATCTGACACCAGCAGCAGAGACATCCCAATCTGATCCTTCCTGAAAAGCAAACTCAAAAGGGGGAGGCAGTGACTGTGACTTGTGGCTTACCCCGGTGACTGTCAGAACAAATAAAATGGCTGCCCACATTCAAATTAGCACTTGTCGCCTGTTAAATTTGCACTTGACTCTGCCTCTGCCTCTGCCTCCGCCTCAGCCTCAGAGTTTCAGGGGTCCCGAGGGCAAAGCCGCATCCAAGTTAAGGACCACAGATGCGCCTGGCAGGCGGCTGGAGCCAACCTTGGAGGTCCCACCAAAAGTTGGCCTGTCTGCCTGCACTTTTGATAAATCGTTCGAGTTGCCTGTCGCGACTTTGCCAGAAAGGTGCCTTGGAACAATGTTGTACCTTATAAATTTTGTTTGGTGTAACGCATGATATATGGAGACACACATACATGGGGCTGGTTTTCTGGCTTCGGGGGGGAATCATCATCATCATCTCCATCGGAGTTTTCTCTTTGTTGATAAATATGTCACTGACTCTTTTGGCAGCCCCATTCGGGCACTTTTCGAAAAGCTTCTTGGCATCCACGTGATTCGTGATAAAAAATTACAGGAGTTTGATGCGCTAATTAGGTAAATTACATTTCTCACTCTCTTGCAACATCTATTTATCCAATTTTCTGAAACTGATAGAGCACTCGAATCGATCCATCTACCTATCCAAAGGCGAAGCGAATACCTGGCGCTGGCTGATAATTCATGGAAATTGGAAATTTTGCTTTCAATGACCTCAAGCAAAACTACTATTTATCAGCAATTCCCCTATCAGTTCTCAGAAAAGGCCCAGAGTTCCCGGAATGCAAAAAAAAATTTAAGGAGCTGCGGCTGATTTATGGGATTGTAATCGACAGATTAAAATCCACATTCAATTGGCGTTCTGAATTGATTTAATAAAACACGATGCGTGGCCAGATTGTCTGTAGGGCCACAGTAATTCCAGTGATTCACGAGGTCTAAAATAGGGTCTTATATCACAGCAAGAGATAAGACTTGAAGCAGACTGTCAGACCACAGCGGTGGGAGTGCTTATCATGCCAAGCCTCATGGGACATGGGCACTGATTGGAGGCGTTTTACCTGGCAACCCAACCACCCGTCTAACCCAAGTTAATTGGAGACACGTAGATGGAGTTTAGCTCTGTAGAAGCCAATTAAAAGCAATTTTTCATGTTTTCTTGTTAGTTACTCGTATATCTTATCGCAGTGCAACCTTCCGCGGAACGCTGATGCTGCTGCTCGTATAAAAGAAGCCTGCACCTGAAACTTCTATCAAATTGTACAATAATCATCCACTGAATATGCATCTGTATACACGAGTTCTCCTCCTGGCCGTCACTCTCTTCACCGTCAATGGTGTGCCCCGTTTTGGAGAGGATGATGCCCTCGAGCAGGTCCTCTTCCGCATGGTCGAAGGCCAGATGGAGTCCCGGGCTCTGTCCCCCGCCGGCCAGGCCTGCTCCAACAACTACGTGAATGCCACCACTAAGAATAGCGAGAAGCTCGCCAATGCAACAAACGCCTGCGAGGATGCCGCCAACAGCACGATTGTTTCCAACAACAAGAACAGCAATGCTACCGTGATCACCATCCGTAACCAGCTGTTGGCCCTCGAGCAGAACCTGCAGCTCTGCCGCAACGAGACCGACTCTGCCCGCTTCCTCAACTGCACCGTGTCCACAGTGCGTGTTATAGTGTTTATATAGTGTCTTTCCCTCAACTTAACGTGGTTGATCCTCTTTTACAGTTCGATAAGAACCTGCAGCTGCTGGACACCTCCAACTCGATGGCCTACCAGACCCAGTCACAGTTCGCATCCAATGCCACGGTTGTGGAGGCCACCCGCTCCAATTGCATCAGCGCTGCCGTCAGCGATGCCAAGGTTCAGGGCATCCAGGCTGCCAACGACTTTGATTCTTGCGTGGCTAAGATCCCATCGCAGCGAGAGATTCCCCAGAAACAGGACCCAAAGGAGCAGAAGCCTGTGCAGCAGCAACAGCAGCAGCAGCAACAGCAGCAGCAACAGCAGCAGCAGCAACAGCAGCAGCAGCAACAGCAGTTGGCATCAGGAGTCCAGAATCTGCCAATGAATAATTAGAATTTTGATAATCAATAAAAGTTTACCACTTGTCAAATGCATTTCCCCCTCTTTCGATGACTGATCTGGAAGTCAAGTGCGGTTTTTGGGGGTTTCCTTCAGCTTATTACTCAGCACTTCCTTCAGTCTTCCTTTAGCACTAAAATAGTTTATCAGCTTGGCGCGTTACGGCAATGCATTGTTATCAACAATTAGATAGCTCCATGTTATCGCCTGGAGAGGGTTTGCGCTGATTGTGGGAGCCCCAAACAATTATAGATAAATTCAATTAATGCAAATAGAGGAAAAAAAATATTGTTTTCAACTGCAAGTCGCTTTAAAATGGTCAGCTGATACTGGCAGACTGTCAGAAATAACTTGAACCGCCCTGATGGAGGTTCTCTGCAAAATATTAGCAGTGTGCTCGCTGCTCGTCAGCGCTCAGGTAAGAGAAGGCCGCAAAGCAAAGACTCCTGGAGAGTTATGTAACAACAAGCAATTCTCATAGGCGTTTGTGGCTGTGGAGCCAGCCAGCTCGAGTGAGCTGTCTTGGAAGTCCCTGTTCTTCGATGCCCTCGTCGGCAACTCCAATGAGTTGCAGGCTGCAGGAGCCCTGAGCAGCCTCGAGGAATGCACGGCCATCTACACGGTGGAGAACATCGAGATCCTCCTAACTGCGAGCTACAAGATCCGCCGATGCATCAGAGTCGATGAGAAGGACATCCGTCGCTATCTAAAGCAAGACGATGCCACCCATACAAGGAAGTCATTCGAGCGGGAGCTGCTCTCCTGCTCGCGCCGTGACTGCTATGTGGACTCGGTAAGTAGAGAAGCTCTCGCTTTCTTCTGCGCCCGCCGTGGTCTGACTCTATCGAATTTCATTTCGTGCAGATCCTGAACCTGTTCAGCTCCGTCCGCCTCAGCCGCCACGACTACAGGCGCAGCCGGCACTGTATCCTTAAGGAGGTAGAACAAGCTCTTATCCAGCTGGACAGGGCGTCCATCGTCCTGGCTAACTGCCTCGCAGAACAGCAGCCCTCTCAGAATTCCACTCTGCCCCCACCCATCTGGAATACAACTCACACCACTCCCAACTGGAACTGGAACAATACCACTTCCGGTCCAAGTGGGAACACTACCGAATGGCCCTGGTGGAGTAATACGACAGCTGGACCAAATGTGAATACAACCCAAGGTCCTTGGTGGGGTAACACCACTTCCGGTCCAAGTGGGAATACTACTGAATGGCCCTGGTGGAGCAATACGACCGCTGGACCAAATGTGAATACAACCCAAGGTCCTTGGTGGGGTAACACCACTTCCGGTCCAAGTGGGAATACTACTGAATGGCCCTGGTGGAGCAATACGACCGCTGGACCAAATGTGAATACAACCCAAGGTCCTTGGTGGGGTAACACCACTTCCGGTCCAAGTGGGAACACTACTGAATGGCCCTGGTGGAGCAATACGACCGCTGGACCAAATGTGAATACAACCCAAGGTCCTTGGTGGGGTAACACCACTTCCGGTCCAAGTGGGAACACTACTGAATGGCCCTGGTGGAGCAATACGACCGCTGGACCAAATGTGAATACAACCCAAGGTCCTTGGTGGGGTAACACCACTTCCGGTCCAAGTGGGAACACTACTGAATGGCCCTGGTGGAGCAATACGACCGCTGGACCAAATGTGAATACAACCCAAGGTCCTTGGTGGGGTAACACCACTTCCGGTCCAAGTGGGAACACTACTGAATGGCCCTGGTGGAGCAATACGACCGCTGGACCAAATGTGAATACAACCCAAGGTCCTTGGTGGGGTAACACCACTTCCGGTCCAAGTGGGAATACTACTGAATGGCCCTGGTGGAGCAATACGACTGCTGGACCAATTGTGAATACAACCCAAGGTCCTTGGTGGGGTAATACAACCGCTGGCGGACCAAACTGGAATACAACGCAATGGCCTAACACCAATACCACCCCAAACTGGACCCTATCTACACCTCAACCCAACTTGAACACCACCCAAGGTCCCTGGGGCAATAGTACGACTATTGGACCAAACTTGAACACCACCATCCTTGAGCCACAGTGGAACTCAACCGACAGACCGCAGTGGAACAGAACAACCACCGATAGACCGCAGTGGAACAGAACAACCACCGATAGACCGCAATCGAACAGAACAACCACCGATAGACCGCAGTTGAATGAAACCACAACCGAGGCGCCCGCCACCACAGAAGGAAACTGGTGGGATCAACTCTTTCACAACATTGGATCCCTCTTCTAGGCGGCCCCATAGGGCGTCGTCCCAAAGTCCTGTTTGGTGACAGCAAATAGTTATAGCAAATTAATCAAAGCAAACAAAATAAATATTTGTCAGCATGTAGAAGCGTTTACACTCGCCTGGCGGGTCCAATCCAAGAGAGTCAGCAACTGATAAGCTATCACTACCAGCCGCTTCAGATCGAATTGGAAAAGAGAATAGCTGTCGATGGGAGGGGGGGCCACAAATTAGTCGGGGAACGGTCGCACCAGACCACACGCCCACTCCAGGCAGCAGGGCCAGGCCTGATTAAGATTTATTAGTCAGCTGAGGACCACGTGTCGCAGACGGCTCGGAGAATAATGATGGATTTCAGTGAAGTGGAGACGTCAGCAAAATGTTGCTGAGAAAGAAAGGCAGGCATGTCAATAGGGGAGTCCTTGCTGATGCTGGTGAAAAACCAGCATGCATAACGAGCAAGCCAATAAGCTCCATAATTAGCTGGGATCTCTGGCTAGGGCTCAGTAATGAGATGGCTCTCCATCCAATCCTGTACTCATTCAAGCCAGTAAAATAATCATAGATTAAATAAACGTTATTGGCAACCCAAAAATCACCTAGGAAACTCTAAGAAGAGTCGAAATATAGCTGAAGAAAAGGGTTGAATAGCTGGGACGGGCGAACCCAACGGACAGTCTGACATTTGCATAACCTCTTCACAGTCCCAGTGCTTCTTGCAATGGAGCAATGCCGAGCAATCGACTGGGGCCATTTTCCCATGGCTGCAGGGGCTGAACACACAATGGAAATCCAACCTAAACAATGGAGGTATGCGGAAAACTTTTAACCCCCGTGTGCCAGTAGATAAATCAACCTGGATCATCACCCTTTCAGCATTCGTTGTCAGCACACACACCTTTACTGTACCCCCTGTGTGTGTCCCGTGATGGGTAAGTCCCTGCCCATGTCCGAGTAGGTGTGGCACACACACCCACGCACCTACTTGCAGACTGTGTGTGAACAGGGCACTGCAGCTATAAATTGCAGCAGGACGTGCCGCCTCCACCCATTCCTATGGGTTTGGGTCAATATTTTTTCATGTTAATTCAACTTTCATGGATGCGGCTTCTGGTCCTGCCGCTGACGGGATAATGGAGATGGACCGGGGAGGGGTGCATGGGAATGAGTGGAATTCCTGGAATGTAAATCAAGGCAGGAGCACAATACGAGGGAATCCGCAACCGCATTTGAAGCTGCCTTAATTTTTGGCCTGACCCGGCGGAAAACTTTTAATGAAAATGCTCCGAAATGAAGTGATCAATTAACATTAATTGCGCAATAGCCAAAGGAAACTTCATAAAAATTTCGGGCTACATTCGAAAGGGTTAGCCGAGGTGATTAGATTAAAGACAAAGGATTGACCCTTTGGAAATCAAAAGTTTTGCAGGATTACAGCATAACACTAAACCTAATGATGATCATTACTGCGAAGGGGCAGTGTTGTCTGCTAAATTGCCAATTAAGATTTTTAACGACAGCCCAACAACCAACAGCAGCGGGCGCACGAAGACACGGAGCGACTTTCCTCAAGAAAAAGTAGATGCCAAGCTCGAAATTAGTAAGTCATTAAAGCGAGGCAGAGTCTGCCCTGGCGCTTGAAAAGAGCAGCGGGATCCGCCCCATAGAGTGTGCAAAAAGGTTCTACCAGCAGGTACGGTCCGGATGCAGGGCGGGGCGTGGGCTTTGGGAGACACAACAGCTGACAGGGCTGACGTTTTGGTAACTAATAGGCCTTATTTGCATGTTAATTGCTCTTGACTGAGTCAACACCAACATCAACCGGGGCAGTCTAGGACGGTGAACGGTGGCATAAAAGTATTATAATAACAGTGGCCCAGCAACACGAAAACAGCATCAAAACAGACAAGAATAATAAGGAGTGGAAAGGCAGAAGGACGTGGTGGGAAACAAGGAATGGTAGACCCAACTCACCCTCTGCCTTAATTCGTCAGAGGCAGAGGAGCCGCCGAAAAGTAGGCTAGATTCACCGAATTAACCCATTTGAAGCCAAAACCAAGAGCAGTAAGAAATTACTTCAGTTCTCACATTTAATTATTTATTTACGATAATACTATACATACATACATATATGCTTAACCCAAGCAATTTAAGCAAGCAATGTATGGGCGTTTCATCTTGAGTGCAACTGACCACATTGAATTGGATCAATTAATTTAATTTAATTTGGACAGCAACCTGTGTTTCAGGATCAGCCCCTTTAGATTATTCAGTCGCCCACATTGCTATAAAACGAAACCACTCAGCAATTGAAACCCGACACTTATGCCATGCCATGCATTCGAGAACGGGAAATAAATCGCTTACGGTCCGATTGCTCTGATTTAGACATAATTGTTTATTTGGGCGTTTCGGCAATTGTGTGTTTCCCACACATATAAAAACTCACACACACCGTGGATAAGCACAGATGTAGAAATATTTCACAGTCACTACCATGCCCGCAAACTATTTGCCTAATGACAAACATGAGGCGTCACGAGCTGCGCTTAAATAAATGAAAATGAATAAATATTCCCACATAGGACTGCACTGTTGTTTATTTATTTTAATTCAATTTTTAGAATCTGCATTGCATATGCATGTGGCCCACTTTAAGCTGTGCAGTAAACGGGATGAGTTCGGTCGGAACTAACGATTTCTCCAACTAACGCCATCAGCAGATAAAATAAAAACTAAAACTTTCGCATACAGATATTATGCAAAACAAGAAGGATGTCCAAAGTGAAACCCAAAACCAAAGAATTTCTTTACGCAACGAATTTGACAATACCCTGGGGAATCGGCGAGTAGTATAAACAAGTTTATTTGCCAATAAAAGCGAATATTTTTTTTAATATAAAACCCAATGATGTTTCCTACTGTCAACATTAACCAAATAAACCTCTATTTCTATTAAAAAATCATTGAATCAGGCAATGGAACTGTAGGGATAGAACAAACGCTTGTCCAAAGTGTAAACGCCGTTAAATAAATGGGTAAGAAATTCTCGGTTAATGCGGAATGAGAAAACAAATGTGTTGGCTTTCCACGGTCGGAAATTGTGGGAAAATGCAACACATTTATAAAACAATACGCTCCGGGAGTGTAGAGCTTGAACATGTCAGAATTAAATTAGATAATTCCATAATGAAAAATCTAAGGCCACGGCCATCAAATTGGATTAGTTTCGACTTCTACAAACAAGTGAATTTCATTACGAAACGTTCTCCTAGAAGCGTAAACACGGGAAATACAAATTATTTGAACTGAAAGTGGCTAATGATTTGTTAAATCGATCAGAGTTAATTGAAGTCAGACCCCAGCCCCATTTGCATGTCATAAATATTTAACAAAGGGAAAAACATTCACGACTCGCAGTCAACATTCAACATAGGCAAGTGCAGTCAAATTAGCATACTCGCCACACGCAACATGCAACATGGCATAATCAAAATATTACCCTTCGTGCTCACCTGCAATTTTCGTATAGTTCTGAAAATTCAACTGCAAACGTAAAGACAAAGACAATGCGGAGTCAGGGTTCGCCCAAATTGCGGCACTTAATTTGGGCTTCAATTTGTGGCACACGCAACTCTCATACTATATGCAAGGAAGCGCACGGGGACGACCGACCCTGTTTCGGCCTGAGCACAACATATAAATAAACCATTAATTCTCAATAAACGGAACAACCCTTTGCCACGTGCCGTGCGTACAGCACTTCACTGTACTCCGGTGAAGAAATTGGAAAGAACTGAAATCGCATGCAATAAAAAGTGTAATTTGTATAGTAAATATGTAAGCAAGGTGTGGAAGCCATAAAACGATGTCCAGAGATGCCACACGCAGCTGACACAGGGAGGGAGAGAGGGAGTGTGAGGACTTACACACTTAGCAGGAAGCTCAGGCTGCTAACTATGAAATAGTCCTTTAAGCAAGTCTATCTTTATCTCCTGGCCAGGCACCGCAGGCTGGGCCCCATAAATTCACAAGTGCGCCCATTAACGCGGGAGTCTAGTCCTTAAAGCATAAAAGCCGCATCCATAAATTTGCCTGCCTAATACAATGTCGCCTCGGCCAGCATAATGGCCTAAGTAAGCGGTTAACACTTACAGACAGGGCAGGGCCATGGCTTTGGTGGTCCCAGCCGCCAGTGCGGAATACTCCATTAAATTGTCAATTGCACAGCGAGAAAGTAACGCGAATGGAATCGAATCGTAATACGAGTATAAATGTATATATATATATATATATCTGGAAAATATCTGCATATCCAAGTGGCGTAATTGAACTTTTCAATTGTTGAATTTACTGCAATTTTATGGGATTCTGTGCGTTCGCTGATTGAAATAAATTGAAACTTAATGTCGGCCAGCATTGAACAAAGTTTACGTCGATTTAATGGCGCTTGATTGAATTACGTATACGCCGCGTTTTCTGCACCGTGTGCCGCCAGCCACGATCCAGCCACATTTATCATCGAATACGGGCATAATTAGAGGGATATCCATACCGAATATTTCTAGGTATCCAACCAGTTGGAAACCAGTACACCTAAACAATTTCGGGAGCAAGGGGTTCTTTAAATGGCTGGACAAGAGAGCCATTGAAAGGGTATTTGGCCATGTAAGCCACACTGCACATAAATTGGAACGTTATGTTTGTTTTTTTTTTCAGGGCAATCGGTTTTTGGCAATGTTTTGTTTTTCACATTTGTTTTTCCCTCTATTGGGAGCTCTAAGGGGACTAGAGCTGAGTGGAGTGGACTGGAGTGGAGTGGAGCTCTGGCATGTGTGCATGCAGTTGAATGCATTTTGTGGTGTGGACATCGCAATAGAGTCATTCCCGATATTGTGCGCTAGCTCAGCGGAAGCCATAATGGTCATATAATGTAACTAATGTGATTCGAGACAGACAGGAGGTTATTTATGTCAGGTGTATTATCGTAGAGCCTCTTACTGAGTTTTGTCATATTCCAGTGAAGTGAATTTTTGTGGCATTGTGTGGCTTAGTTCGTCCGGTACTTACAATTAAAATTACAATAGGTAACGGAAACATCATTT